CTCTTTATCATCGTCAACATAGGTGCCGTTTTCCCAAGTTCAACAAAATCAAACCACACTAAATGCGGTTTCTGTGCTGTGCTATCCACAATGTATCTAATGCGCATGCGTGGACAAGGACTGAGAAAATAATCAGAGCACAGACCCGTCTTCCTCTGTCTAACAGATACTAAAAGCACTTTAATCAATAGACTATAACGTGTTTTTAAACCGCGAAGAATTAGCCTGCCCGATCATATTTGCACACTAACTCAAGGACCTGTGGTGGCACCTCAGACGCGATCAGAGTAGAAAAGCATCTCAAAGCATCCAGCGCTTCATATTAATGTAAATGTTCTGGCCCTACCCCCTTAAATTTACTTCATAAAAGCTATATCACACATGACAGCTCTCCAGTTACCAAGGGCCGATCATTTAACACAGACACGATAATGATAACCTCGAACTAATTGATAACTAGATAATAAGCTATATTTGGACAGAATACTAATCTCAAGCAATATAAAAATTACGGAGTCTATTCACGAAACTGCATCAAATGAAATCAACTCCTCGTGCATATCTGGAATTCTTGTAAAAGACCGATGCTATCCAGACATCAAAAGCTTGATCACTGAAATTCTTCCAGAAGTCTTACCTTAAGACTTGATATAATCACATTTACCAGATTATCTAATATTTAAAGGACTTTGAACATTTCTATTTAAATAACAAATCTTCTCCCAACCTCGATTCCACTGAGCATAGCTTGTGCACCGAACCCTCAGAGTCATGGAGCTAGAAGCCCATTGTGCTATAGCAATTCGTTCCTATTCACATTTTTAGCAAATTAAGGCTCTAACTATGAGAAAGTGCCTTTATATCAGGAAAAAGCCGGACAAGATAAAAGTTAATGAAAATTAGGACTCTAAATGTGTCATATTTGTGTTCACCATTCCGTAACTAGCGAACCAAAATTATGTCTGATGCTGTGAAAAGATAGATCTATCAAGCAAAATCTTTCTATATCCATAGAGAACAAGACGATTTTGTGAGGTCTTTGGTGAAGCTGGCTACTCGATTTCAGTACAATATTTGCATATTTTACTGGACGATCAAGTTTATACGAAAAATAGCTAGGCGCAACAGCAAAAAATCCAGCCAGTCGTTGATTGGTTTGGTTTTCTGTGCAGACGACAAAAGAATTCGATGCGTGCTAAATGCCAAAAAGCAGAAAGAAATATATCATAGATCATTTGATGTCTTCGCTGAATCTCCAAGTCTGCCTAGGCAGTACGCGAAATTGTAGCTGATTCTTCCCTCTTCCAATCTCCTTTTAAGCGGGTTTTTTTGAAATAAGATGTCTAAAGCCTCCTCATATAAAGTCAGTCTTTCTGTTTCACTTCAGTCAGTTGTGTGGCCGATAAGGGCGATGTGCTCAATTGTCTCCGATATTTTCGTATCAATTTACCCTTTCCCCATCACAAAAATGGGTAGAGTGCAACGAAAAGACTGGACCCATATGGGGAGAACATCAGAAATAAATAAGTTGATCTAACAGTCAAAAATGGGGGAATATTGAAAATGAATCGTCGAACAAGAAGAAGCCAGATCATAACAATACACATTTTCATACGTTTCTTATTATGCACAAGTTATAATCTTAGATTGAGTGATTTTTTCACCTGTATAAAAAGAGCTGTGAAATATCAAAGATTATTATTTTATAATTGTTTCGATTTCTATAAACATGAAACAATAGACATGATCTAATTTTTCGATAAATATGGCCAAGAGGTGGAGCCTTGTTACCTTTATATATTACTGGAGTCGCCGCTATTCGATTATACAGGCTATACATGAAACAAATTTGGCACCTTTAGCAATAAGGTAGTGCAATGTAAAAAGTTTTTATACGAGAATTCACAGCCAGAATCCCTTATAAAACTCAAGTAAGCATAATTTGTATAGAGAAGAGTCGTCCTAAATCTACATTAGCAACTAAAATTGAATATCCACAATAATGTTATTCCTGCCAGGTCGCCACAAGAAGCCTACGCTTGAGTATTGAAAAAAAATGAGAAAATGAGCAAGGCCCAGCTTTATTCTCAGCCCATCAATTAGTGAAATTTGGTAGATTGGCAAACAAAGCATTTGATGTAAAGGAATTTATTATAATTAATCCTACAGAAGCGCAAATAATACAAAATAGATGACGAGACTTCTTCAGAAATGAGTAGACTTGGTGCGACGTGAGAAAGATTGTATACCATAACATTACACAGTTTTCCTGTGACGGATCGAGTCCTTTTCCTAGTTTTAGCAAATCCTTTTTCAACCCAAAGTACAAGTGCACAATACTAATACCGAAGCTGTTGTGTGTAAGAAGTCAGGGTGCTCAACGATGCATAAAATGCAGGATGATGAATCAAGAACCAGTCCATTTCAATAAAGTGGAAACTTCGTCGGCCAAGAATGGGATAATGGGATGATGCTACTAGATAAGATACAGGTCGCTTGCCGGCCATTCAAACGATATGGATCCTAGGTTCCCGTAAGAGAATAAATTAAAAATTCCTTAACTGGATCAGTTTGAATACCCTGAACTCGCAATAGTAATGATGATAAAATGGAATTTTAATTTTGCGATCCTTTCAAATGATTATTCGAATGAACACTGGCTAATTCATAGGAGGCTGCACACAGAGGCTACATAAACCTGATCATGTACAGGTTGAGACAAACAAACACAGAAAAACCAACACTACCAAATTAGCCATAGGTACAATCATAAGTCAGTGTGTGGTGTGATCACCACTCTAGAGCCCTCTAGCGCCATCGCTTTCATACAGAATGAAAGTCAGTCCAGCAAGTCCATAGAAGATCTGTCGTACCTGGCCCTTTTTCACACAATAGTTAAATTTTAGTGGAAAGTATTTGCTGAAAAAATTGACCAACCGCCAATTAAATACTATTCGAGACTAATGGCAAAAATTTTTGCCACGTCTATATTTATCCACTGCATATCTTAACCAAGAGAAGCCTAGCATGGCCTGAAACTGGTATGTCCTATAACACGGACGCACTAAAACCATCTCGTCCGATGGCTAATGCGCAATCGACAATTCAGCCTGCATAAGTATATAGGTGTCCATCAGTCTTACATTTTTTAACCACTATGCTTTTGTAAAGCGATGGAGATAAATTGAATAATTCCTTGGGAAAGATAACTCGCCAAAATAAAAATATAAAAAGGGCACAAGTTAGAAAGCTATCAGCAAGAATTAACTACCTGTCCCGCTAATTAATATTAGCAATTAATAATTTAGGGAAGATTTAAGGAAATCATCTAGAGGTAAACTTCCAGAAAGCAGATATGAGGAGAAAATATGTTTTGTATACATTTGTCTGATAAACTCATATCTCTATGGCTTATCAAACCAAACTAGATTAATCGGGGATGTGAAGACCAGGATGGTGTGACCTATTGTCGCGGTCTACTTTTGTTGTATACAAGTAATTTGATCTCGTTCGAAAGCATCGTGTCCGGAATCCCCTGTCAAGTACACATTCTAACGCTGAAAATTATCATGGATACTCTTGTAGAGGACTCCGGACAAGGTGTCTTTCTGACAATTCGATCAGGTTGCAAAAACGAGGCCAAACCACTCCAAGCTAGATTGGTTAGGAATGAGATCAATGGTCATGCATAAAATAGCGGCATTGTTTCTTTACATTGGAACAAAATTGATGAGATATTGAATGCAGAGGTCATTCAATTCAATAAAAAATGCAAGGTAAAACTGTAGACTTAGCATCTTTTTGGCGTTATCAACTAAACAGAAAGCTAGTCGATATTTCCAACTAAAAATTAGGCAAAAGATAAAGGACAATATATGATTTTTCAAGAGGCAACTGCAAAAAAGCAACTTACTACTTGCTGTTGGTGGCCAACCTGCGGCAGAGACATGGGAGAGGCAGCTCCACTAGTCGAGGAAACCGATCTTGGAGTGCCTACATTGTGGCCTCCGGGACCTCCTGGACCCAAAGGGCTAGCCTGGGCGTGAGGGCTAGCCAGTAGTTGACCGGCCGACTGATGTTGAAAGTGAGTATGTGGATGGGAACCAGTGTGTGGCAGCGCATGAGGTGAAGATTGGTTAGGGTTCGGAGGATTTGCATTTCCAGGTCTAGGGGACATGTGCTGCTGATGAGTTTGTGTAAAGTGAGCAGCTTGATAGGGACTGTCGACTGGTCCGGCCAGCCCCGGTGTTGAAGGGAAATGACCAGTTCCTGGGCTGGACGCTGTGGCTGAAAGCCGCCCCGCAGGCCCTGGAAATCCGCTGGTTTGACTTACTGAAAGAGAATGGGCTCCAACCAGACTTCCTGGACTGCTTGTGAGCCCAATACCGGTGCCAGCAGAAGTAGGAACAGAAGAGATAACCGCGTTGCTTGCACTACAATTAATGGAGAATACGGGACTTGTGCGACCGTTGGTCATTCCAATTGACTTCTGACTTGTCGATCGATCCTGATCTCGATCTAGCGCTTGATGTTGTTGTTGTTGCTGACCTTGATGCAGATTAGATGTAGACATGAGAGATGAATGAGGATGGTGATGGTTAGCTTGAGATTGAGGCTGAAGTGGTAGCTGGGGGTGTTGTTGATGCTGCTGCATTTGCTGTTGCACTTGTAGCTGAAGTTGATGCTGTTGCAGATGCTGCTGATCATATTCGGAACATGGTGGCCTGGGACCAGCCGTTGGGGAGTAGAGCTTATAAAGATCTTCTGTTGGCAAAACAAAGTAAAATAAGTGAATAATGTGAATATGATTTATCGTCTCCTAGTACAACATTATGGCTAATATGGAGAATATACACATATATATATCGACACTTAAGGAAAACATTCACTTGTACAATCTAACTTACAAGACTTTAGAGGGCTAGTCTGACGTCAGCTAAAGAATATTAGGAATATATCGCTTCTTTATGGC